GCGCAAAATTTATTTATTAGGTTAGTAATAATTTTTTCCCCAAGACCACTAATAATTTATATCAAAGTGGTGATTATTTTTCAAATCCAAGTGATCTGCTTATCTGGATAATATTCTCTCAACCAAAATATACCAGAGATAAGAAAACCTCCCTATATGGTACTGAATATATTTTGGACAGATATATACTCTGATGATTAAATTTCATTATTTAGTAAGAAATTCATTAAGAAATAATGGATTAAAACAAACTTATAATTTTTGATATATCATTCCTGATCCATATACTTTGCAGAGATCATATTTCAGTAAAGTTACCATATAAGGGATGAAAGTTACAAAAGATAAGAACATTAAACACATTATCAAGGTGATATTTTCTTGTGACAAGCATCAAAATTGGAACATCATAAAGTGATGAATCAAACAACTGAACAGTCAATTTAAGAAAGTAAACCTTGACTGAAGACTATGCTTAAAAGATCTTTGGAGCTAAAGGATATAAATATCATTGTGGCTTTTTATTGTTAAATGTGAGATTCAGTTACGTAATAAAACTGCCCTACAGGGGCTACATTTAACATGAAGCTTGTTGATAATGCTATTTTAATTACTGCTTCTCATTTTTAACTACTTTGAATTGCTTTAATATTTACTAAAGTCTAATGTCATAATGAATAGTCTTTTTTACAAAAAGGCTCTCATTTGAAAAATGGAGACACTGCATTACCTCTCTCTAGTATCAACGAAATAAAATCTGGATGCACAGAAAGTTCTATGAAATGTGCAAACTGAATATGCAAAACTATTGCCTTAATTTTGTTTAAAAAAATAAAAAAGCCATGCCATATTGAATTCCAAGCCTCGCAACAATGGCTACCAAAAGTGTGAAATTAGGTTCTCAGTTTGGGTTCTCAGCTTTGAATATTTTTAAAATGGACCCTGACAATTTACTAGCAATATGCTCTAAAGGCTAAACCAATGTTTCTTTGCATTTGGCTGGAATTACGTTAATTCTATGTGGTATACATTTTGGTCCACATACTCTTATAGCTACATATATGATTAATAAGCGTAAAAATTATGATAAATGCAGTTTGTATATTCAATATTTTAAAATAGTCTATGGGGGGAATTACAAGATGACTTTGGTGGTAAAAAAGGGTGGAAATTCGTTTTTTATACTTTAGACCTAGGTTGAAGACTGGAGAGACAATCTACTTGGGCTTATTTCAGAACAATCTTTCTCTGGCTCAGCATGAAGTGGTTAACTAGAAATTGTAATTGCATGTATGTTGATTGAACTCATGAGATTTGAACACCAAAACACCAATTTATTACTTAACAATGATTATTCCTCATTGTTAATACTTATTGTTAAACTACAGCCAGTTGCCAAAAAGGGCATTCCACATGGGTAGAAGAGTGTTTGATCTAATAATGACCATTCCCCTGCTTTCCTCTTCTTTTTCCAAGTTCCTTGCCAGGTCCAGTTTTAGTATTAATTTCCAATATCTATTTTTAAATTACCTCTTGACTTGATTATTCAGTTTATAATTTTCATTTT